GCTTTTTTCTTTTTGCTTATGTGGTGCTTAGGAATTGAACCCAGGGCCTCATGCATGCAAGGCAAGCGCTCTACCACTGAGCCACCTTCCCAGCCCCCCCAGTTTCCTTTTGTTGTTGTTGTTTTTGTTTTTTTGTTTTTTGTCCGTCGTGGGGCTTGAACTCTGGGCCTGGGCGCTGTCCCTCAGCTCTACAGCTCAAGGTGAGCGCTCTACCGCTTGAGCTACAATGCCAGTTTTCTAGTGGTTTTATTGGAGATAAGAGTCTCACAGACTTTCCTGCCCGGGCTGGCTTTGAACCGTGATCCTCAGATCTCAGCTTTCTGAGTAGCTAGGATTACAGGCGTGAGCCACCAGCGCCTGGCTCTGTCTCCTATTTTTCAAGGCCCATGTTGCATCGTTTTATCTGTGGTGGCCCCTGTGATTGGGGACCTGGGTGCCACCTGCAGTACAGAGAAGGTAGCTCCAGGACTACTGCAGTGTCTCCTGGTATGCACATAGTACTGGCGTGTTGGATGAAGAAGAATCAGACCATTCTTCAGCTTCGGTGAGACTTAGCAGGTCTGCTTCCAAAGAGCACTAGGGCTCATGGACTGTTACCTCCTAAATGATCCATTCTCTGAAGAAGCTGCCTTTATATAGAACGTCCTGCAGACTGCTCAATCTCAGTTGAGGAGGGCATGAGGATTAAGAGAGATTATTATAGATTGTGAGCCAAAATTATCTGGGGTTAAGTCACTGAATAGTCAGTTGGCTTAACTTAGGTATCTGACCGAACATTCTTGTCACTATCCAATTGGCTTAGCAGACCTTCAGCTCCACCAACCCTAAAGCTAAGGATACTATAAGATGACATCTAAAACCTGGAGGAGGGATTTCTCCACTTTGCTGTAGTCCCCATACCTGAGGCTCCCACCAACATACTTATTAAGTGTATTGCTTTCCTGCTTTCTTTTTGTTGGTTGTGGTGTGATGGTGTGAAGAGCTCTCAGCTCTTCAGCTCAAGGATAGTGCACTACCTCTTGAGCCACAGCACCACTTCTGGCTTTTTTTCTGCTTATTTGGTGCTGAGGAATTGAACCCAGTGCCTCATGCATGCAAGGCAAGCGCTCTACCATGGAGCCACCTTCCCAGCCCTTCCTGCTTTCTTTTTCTTGTGACTAAAAATTCATGTAACTAATCTCTTCCGTGGTGGCACATTCAAGTAACTTGAATTCCTGTCATTCATACTTGCCTCAGAATGGTCTTTCCTTTAAAGCAGAGTCATTATTTCAAGTTAGTAATCCCTAATGAGCTGCCTTCTGCCTTCATTCTGTCCTGATCCAGACCTCTATTATCAATCCCTCCAATACAGGGGTAGTCAGTGACCTCTCAGCTGCCTCAACCTCTGCGCATCTGTCTAGTTCATCCTCTACATGGCAACCCAAGCAAAAGTCCTAAAAGCTAACACAATTGCTCTTCTGCT